TTTTCAATATATACGAAAAAAAATATCAGTTTTATGTTACATTTAAATGTATTGTTCAGCTAACTAGAAATTCGTTCCTCAAGAGACTCGTATTAAATACTGTAAGAAAATGAAGACTGGAGGAGACAGGTGAAAATCCTTGAGATGTGGGAGACAAATTTTAAAGAATCATTCTCTGTTATGACTTTAACTTTTATATAGGAGCTGTGGCACGCATAGTCTCAGAATTTCTCCAAACTCTCTATGATAAAAGTCTTTGATAAACTCAAATCAGGCAAAAATTGGTTGCTACGTGTCATGGTTACCATAGCAACATGTCCTAAAGTTTGAAAAATGGCATTTTTCAACATGTTCAGAGTCCCACAGTTAACGTTTGCAGCAAAGCAAACAAATGGCAATGACTGTTTCTGAAAGTTGAAGGCCTTATGTCTTAAATGCATGATAAATATGTTAGGTAAATCAACTACTACATACGTTACTATGGAAACAATGTATTCAAAAGTAATAATTTTGTTCATTTAATTTTATAATGTCATACACTTGAGAATAAAAGCAATTATAGGTTGAAATGCAAGCAAATAATATACAAGAGATCCTTGTGACATAAACCAAGGACGAAATATAATATTTTTTAAAGTTTGGCAATGGTTGCCATGGTTTTAATACCACAAAGTTATTTTAAATTTACTTTTTCAGTGTTTTAATCTTATCCTATCTTTTTAAAAAGCATATTTCTATATAACTGATGATCAATTTTTAAAGGCACTGGGGTGACCCTAATTTTCACATTTCAAAAAATTTAGATTCAATTCTTTAAATTGAGCGTTGCTATGGAAATTAGCCGAAAAAATATGCATAGAAATCTGAAAAATATTTTGTTTCCTTGGATACGTACCCTTGTACGTAGATTCCCAAAACTTTTATGATTAATATATATGAAAAACTATCCCGACTTTCAATTTTGACTACCACCCAATCTCTAACTGGATGCAAAAAGCTGGCACATAGGATTTAAGATTGATATAAAATTAACAAAATCGAACATGTTCCCTTCTTGGTAACCATAGCAACAGTGTTGTAATTTTCAACAAACTTTATCAATATATGATATTCAACTTTAGTCCTACCAGATAAGTACTGTTCAAGGTGAGTCAAATAATATGTTTCTTCATTAAAAGCTAAGTAAATTCCTAAAGCAGCATAAAAATATCACTTTAAACAACTGGTACGTTTTTTCCATGGTTACACTGCAAAGTAACAATTAATCCCAATATTTCTTATGTTGTTGGTGTTGCAAGGTCCTAAGGATGTATATGTGCCAGTCATGAATTTTATTGTTTTTCTCAAGATAGTAGCATTAACCCAATCTTAGCAACAGATTTTGCATGGTTACACTGCGTTACCATGGCAACCATGAAAGTTATTTTTAGAATAATACTGCCAATACCTTATTACTTAAGGTCAAATATTTTTATTGTTTTTCTTTGGTTGTTGATTGAGTTTGATCATGTAACATCTATCATTAGTGAATATTGAGCAGTTTTCAGCATTTTTCAGCATCTAAAATGTATTCCAAATGTACCCATGGTTACCACTTAATTAGAGATAAATTCTAAATTATAGTTTCTTTATAGCATACACTGTAAGTGGCAACAAGGTGTCATGTTTTTGTGAGAATAGTTTGTTTGTTTTTCTTAGTCTTTATTAAGGCTTAATAAAGATTCAAAGTAGCTGAAAATCTCAATTTTTTCAAGTTTTCTGGCTGTTACCATGGCAACCAAGACACATAGCAACGGAATTTTGTTTGATATATGTTTTTGGTGTCAAGTTGTAATAATTGGCAAAGTTTCATCAAAATCGGTGACCATGCGTGGTAAAGAAGTTTAAGTGGTTACAGAGAATCGCTATTAATTTTTACTACCCATTTTAACTAGCTACATTCTTCACCAATCAAGGAACTTTCCGAGAAACGAAAGAAAACGTTTGTACTAGAAACTTGTAGATACAATGAAAATCACAGAAAACTTTCGACAAAACTTTGGGATGCGATGGTCATAGGGTTGCTGAAAAAGTTATTTGTCCGACATAATTTTCAATTACCTATAAATATATAAAACGACTCATATATAAACATTTAAACAGACCTTTTTTAAAATAGGGCATAGAACACCATTCTCACGAGGATCGATAAAGTAAGTAGCTGAATAATACATACCGGTAACGATAATACTTTACGAGCAGGTTTAAATTTCCCTTGAGGGGGAGAAGGCTCAAACACCTTTCAAATTTAAAATCGGTATAGTCCTCTGTCATCACACAGGTGAAAAATACTTAGTTAATCACAGAAAAATATCAATAATCTTATACTATCATTATTCATTGTATAATTTAGAAAATTTCTTGTGCTGATATTTTTCTTACTTTTTAAATCGGGATCGAGGTCCCTCCGATTCAGATTCGTTTCAGATTCGGATTCGATTCATATTCAGAAACATCTCTATTATAACCTATTAGACCCCTGTAAAAAGATTGTGAAATCATACTGCCGACCTTAGATTGTGCGTTATTTAAAAATAACCAATTATCTATTTCAAACTTGTGTGATTCTGTATATAAAGGCAACCTTTTTGTACTTAAATTTAGTAAAAATATTTTGATACCGGTATATTTGAGTAAAATGTGACGTAAAAGTAGAACTTACATAGCACGGAAATCGAAAATTCACATGTAAATATGCCACTATATGTCAATTCCTCTTTCAAAAAATGAATAATTAAATTTTTAGAGAAAAATCAAGAGGATAATTGAAATGAAACCATGAAATGACGTCAGTATATTTGACCTTTGACCTCTTAACATGATATTGACCAGTATTGCATAAAAAGATGGAGACTCAATATAGATATGTCCAGATATCAGGTCACTACTATAGATGGATCAAAAGTTACTTTGCATTTAATACATGTAACAGATGGTCATATGGCATGAAGATGGCATAAACGATCCAAAATGTAGGCTTCCGATTTACCAATATATAGGATATCTCTAATTTTTTTTCCAAAGTATGGTGAAAACATGTCACAGCTTATTGTTTTTCTTAAGAAGATCTTTGATTATTGACATTATAGTAAAATTCTTTTTTTTTCTGGTGTACTTTATAAGATATGCGTTAAAACAGATTTCATGGGTGTTGTGTACTACCTTAAATCAAGTATGTTATTTCATTTGAAACGAGAAATGGAACTTCGTTATGTTTTACAAAGATCTGAAGTACAATATGAAGAGTACATAAACACAAAAGGCTATCAGAGGATACCCTCCCCCCCCCCCTCCATGTATTAGGCAGATTTAGATGAGTAGTTCTGATGAAAATTAATTCACTGATTGAAATCAGTATGCTGATTGGCATTGGACAGGGTTCCAAGGAAGCTTGCAATATTGTCAATCAGAAATTCAGGCAATTTTTTAATATCAACTTCTGAATACACTACTTGTGTGTACAATCAGAATGTTTTTTAGCAAAATAATTTTGCTTAATAAACAAATTCAATATTCTCCATACATACAGATGTATACGCTGCCACAGTGCATAAATCCGTATTTTTACACAGTTTTATGGTCAATAATAGTAAATAGGGCAGGTACATGTATTCGAGATCTGCAAAGTACGATGATAAGTATATTAATATTATTAAGGGGAAATGGAATGAATGTTTCTAAGTAAAGGAACTTATATAATTACTTAGTTCCTTTAATTAGGAACTACTATCTCCTACTTAAAACATTATTTCCTTTGTTCAGAGAATTAAATAAAAACTAGTATCAGATATTAAGAATTTATTTTGTTAGGTAGCACACATACAATGACAAGTTAATTGTTTAAAAAATGGACAGTCACAGGTAAGCTAGGGGTGAACAGCAATTTGTTGATTAGCCATTGTGTCTCAAGATGCAAAATAACAAAAGGTCTTTGTCTTAAGAATGGACAGTTACAGGTGGATTCCAGTATTTATACAAGTATGCTATGCTTTTAAATCAGTTTATAGTTTGCGTTGTAGAGGCATACACGTTTTCCTCCAATGGGAGAGTATATGACAGAATTAAAAGCTAATGAACCAAAGATTCACAAAATCAGTGATATTTGGACCTGGAAACAGAGAATAGTAAAAGACAATATTAGCCAAACTTTGACCAAAAAATGAACTACGAAAAAATACAGATGATCAAATTCGAATCAAATCTGAAAATGTTTTATTGGAATTCAATTTTTGAGGATATATTGACTGCAGCCGTGTAATGGTGAGATGTAAATCGTGTTCTGAGTGTTCGATTAGCCATAAGCCGAACTTCGACCTGAAAATGTATTTCAAATAAAATCTGAAAATGTTTCAATTTAATTATTTTCTACGGTAATATTTACAGCAGCAGTGTGTTCTGGGTGGTTGATTTAATATTAGCCGTACTTCGATCTTAAAATATGTTCTTCTCGAGGGAATAATATTTTCGAAATTTAAAACAAATGTAAAATTGTGCCATTTAAATTCAAGCTTTGAATTTGAAAAGGAAATTGAGTTTCGAGTATTGAAGTTGTGTATCATTCATGGATTTAAAAGTGTAAAATCAAGTCGATGCTGTGCAGACATTACGTTCTCGATTAATTTAGATCTCCACGTTCTTTTTTTTTTTTTTTTTTTTTTTGTTATTTACATTGAAATTGAAGCGTATTTAATGTATTTGTTTCCCTCTTGGGCACATTCCAAAGCTTACCTGTAACTCTCCATTCTGATTGTTTTAACTGTCCGCCCTTTTTGAAAAAAACTGTCCATTCTTTAAAAGAATGGACAGTTTTCCAAAAAGAATGGACACTAACAGGCATCTTAATGGATTGTTTGAGGAGTTAGTTCAACATTAAGCTATAGAATGGACAACACAAACAAAAGGTTTACTTCACAATAATATTTTAATTTATATTCATATTAAGATAAAACGATCATGTGGAACACAATTTAGATGTATATTGCATTTTTTTAATTTTCTCAAAGGACTAAGGAACAGTAATAACTGTAACCGGTCATTTTTAAAAATAAATCGACAAGTATATCGACATTTTGGGGTCCAAAAATTTAGTGGGTAAAATCTTTAATCGAGTTGAGTAGCCATATCAATAGGGTGCACGTGAAGGAAAAGTTTATAACTAAATTGGTGCCAGTAATACTTTAACTGACGATTAAATTTACATGAAATGTTATATAATTTACATCCAGGATTGGATGGTCGTGTTATTGACCAGGATTGAAATCAAAACCTGACCGGTCAAGATTGGATGTACATGTGTACCAGGGTTGAAAATCATGGATTGGTCTTGTTTGCAATCCTGACTTAACAAGGATTCTACCTGGCCATAGGGGCGGGGAGCACGGGGGGGGGGGGGGTGTCCCCAATAGTTTTGCCAATATATAGAATACTACATATATAGAAAACATAGCAACTGTGCTACTATATGCTTGTGCCCCTCAATAATAACGTCTGATGACCTTTTTTTATTTTTGCTTGTAAAGGAATTCTGGTAGTTGAACTGAAACCCAACTGAAAATGTATGGTCGTGCCCTCTCAAGGTGAAATTGCTTCCTACGGGCCTGTAGTGTAATCCCAACCTGTCGGGATTGAAATACAATGATGTATTTAGAACATGACTTGAGATTTCCATAGGACAGACAAGCTGAAATTATAATTGTTGCGTGAAAAAAAAATGTAAAAAAGCAGGAATTTTATTTTTGGATGCCATTTTAATTTTTGGTATACTTATAATAATGTGGGGGGAGGGGTACCTGTACGGTTTTCCATATTGAAAATATTGAAAATAACATGTATTTACGTATTAATGGAAATAAATATCAACTGTTTATACTAAGAAATCAAAATAAAATCAATTAAGTTAATTTCTCTTTTAACTACCATTAACTAAAGTGCAATTTCAAAATGTATGATGACTCATGTATTTGCAAATAGTAAACATATTCCACCAATACCCAACTTTACGATTTTTACTCAACAAATTGATAAAAGTTTTCACAGAAATCTGAGACACTTGTCAATATTTGGTTGCATGTAGTTGATTTGACACAGTTTGATGACTTTTATTGTTTATCTTTAACTCCTATCAATGGGTGGTTGGATGCCGAAAAACGGTTTATCAATATGCTACACCTTAACATTTTTCAAATTCATTTACACAGGCCACCTTTTATCCGTACTCTTTCGGTAACCATCTTATATTTGAGAACGCAAAATAGTGTCCATTTTCAAAATCACAACTGTATGTTTTAATATTAAATAAATAAGATTAAAAAATTAACTATATTTTTTACTAACATACTGGATGTCATTAACGATTAATCAAATACACAAGTTTAATGTGTTACTATGTAAATACATGCAAACGACCAGGCCCAAAAGGACCATATGCCTTAAATTAATCATACTGCTCTACATTCTAGGACTATCAATATAATTGACAGGAAGCATTTTATATGTATCGTATATATATATATGGCGACGGCTGAATTACAAAAGGGTTAATTCCTAAATATTGTACTAGTATCATGTATGAGTTAAGAATTTGATTAAAAAGGACAAGAATAGTACTGAAGTTACAAAATGATTTATGTTGATAAAAATTTCATGGCTTCCTGTACGACATCTTTGCCTTCAACATCTCTGGTTTTCAACCAGTTCAATGCTTTCTCCTCGATTATCACCCATTCCTCTCTTTGTTTTAAGAAATATTTTCTCAAAAATGCAATTCCAAGAGCTGTTGTCCAAACACTGACATCCTGTGGAAAAAGACAGTATCGAATGACAATAGCTATATATGTATATCATTATACCATCGTTCTTGTCTTTTCTGAATGTAATCCATACTCTCAATCCATGAGTCTACTTTGTTCTGGTTTTGCAAAACATAACATGAACCTTTTAGTTGTTGTAAATATCAAATATTTTTGACTTGTATGATCTATAAATTGACATTTGTCTATGTTTTTCGGAGACCAGGTCTTCCAAAAATCTGTTTGAATCCCATAGGTACTAATTATACCCCCATTATAAGCAGATCTGTTTTTGTATTCATATAAATTTATTCAAAAAACCCACATGAAAAGAAGACGTCTCTTGCTGTGGCCTTGAATTTGATATTTAGATATATCGACGACGTTTAAGTAAATAACAGCTTTTATTATATAGTCTGTAAATAGTCTCTATATAATCTATACAAACACAAACAGTTCATAATACTACATATTCACTGGATTTAAAGCCGTATTCACCGAAGGTCAGTGCGCGTGCAGCAACAACGTTGAAAACATTGGTTGCAACGGCTGGAGCAAGCTGTGTGTCCGAGCTGGAAAATCTATCGCAGGATTATTTTCCGAACATTTCGATGTTTTAAACACAGCTACGGGAAAACAAGTACGATGTAGGTTGTAATCTGGACCTTTTTTATTTTTCTACGACAGAAGTTCGTTAATGAAAATATTGTATAATCATGCTTCCTTATTCAAATCTTGACTGTATAAAAAAACAATTATGGATTCATCCGGTCGTGACTATGGTTTGTTATTCACCAGAAAAATATTAATATTGACTGAGGCGAATATTGATATTTTTCTGTTGAATAACAAACCATATTCACCACCGAAAGAGTCCATAAATGTGTATTATTTCAATTCCGACGTTGACTCGATATACATGTATTTCAATGAATGAACTCGAAATAAAAGAAAACACAGAGCTGGACACAAGTTTTTCACATTTGGATGTTTTACTAGAGAAAGACTTTGATATCAAACTGACAACTAAACTTTATGATAAACATGATGTCTAACTTCAACTTTTCTATAGTCAACTTTCCTTACTTAATTTCGTGTAAATATTATAACAGTAAATGGAGTTTATGTCTCTCAGTTGATTCGATGTGAAGCAACATACGAACAATTTCGAAAACGAGCAGCCCATTGACAAATAAGTTGATGATTCAAGGATATCAACAATTTAAAAGTCATCATTTTCCAAATTCTTTGGTCGATACAATGATCTTGTTTGCAAATAAAATCTGATGTTAGGTCGAATGCTGAATGACGTTTTTCTTTCAAATTGTAAGCTCATTATTTTCATCCTGAATTGTCTACGGATTTTCCTTACTTATTATACTTATGACTGGTCGGCTGGGGATATGATACAAACAAACTTTTATGAAAAATCTTGCAAATAACAACTTAAATCATGTGGATATAAGTAAAATAAAATGAATAAGTTTAACAGCATAGATTTTTATTTTTCATTCAAAGTTTCACAATAACTGGATTTAAAGCAACTAAAAGTTGTATAAATTAATAAGGGTGGTTGCAGAAAGGTGGAATTTTAAGCATAGTAGTAAGTTTACAATTTCTTAATATTTTAAAAATTTATTATTCTAGTCATTTACAACCAAAATAAGTCAAAAAATATCTACCTATCCAGACATCCATTTTTTTAATCATCTGTCCTTAAATGGACTTTTGAGAATGATTGCTGTTCACAGTATCACATTTCATGCATGAAATGTATGGAGATAACGAACAGTATTCAAGCTCAAAAGTCCATTAAACAATACAAAATAGGAGCAGAGCAAACACGGACCTCTAAACATTAGAGGTGGGATCAGGTGCCATGGAGGAGTGAGCATCCCCTGCCGACCGGTCACACCCGCCGTGTGCTCCTTGTCATGATCGGGAAATAACGGAAAAATCCGTCGACAATTCAGTGTGTAAATAATGGCCTAACAATTAGTATCAAAAACGTCAGTCAGCATTTGACTCAATGATAAATTGTATTTGCTGACAAGGTCATTGTATCGACCATAGAACTTACGAAATGATGACTTTAAACGAGACAGCTGATATTCTTGTTTCATCAACTTGTTTGTCAATAATTTATCTCGTTTTAGAAATTGTACATACGTAGTGCATGCTTTTGGGTATCGAATCAACTGAATCTTGCGTATCGAATCAACTGAACAACCATATACATGTGATGTTACACTTAATACTTATGCAATCTTTCAGTATACCTGTACCACAGCAGATGCTTTTATTTCATCCCGTGATTTGTTGAATATTTGTGAAAGTTTGTCTGTTAACTCCCAAGATCCGTTGAACTTTTGATTGACAATCAAATCCAGCATCTTAGAGGAAATGTCTCCTGAAAATAACAAGTCAGGATTAAAATTTTAAAAAAAATTAACTCCTTACATACATTGATATATTCAACATATTTTTATCTTCATTTTATTACTTAATACAATAAGACAGAAGTTAACTAACTGAAGGGGGGGGGGGGGGTCATGACATCATATATATGATAATATAATAACTTTTATAAAACTAAAGTCATACCCAATAGAGAAAACTCTTTTTGAAGATTGCTATTTAGATGTGATGAAAATATTTAAATGAATTTTAGATAAATATTTATCTTCATTTAATCAATTATCAATCATTTGAAAATATCCCTAAAGGATATAACTCCTTCTCGTGTATCTTCATTCAGGCATTCTCTTCATTGTACTTTTAATGTAAAATGGATTCCCTGATTTTCACAACTCAAATATATTTATAAAAAGGCAATTATTTTGAGCTTTCAACTTCAGAATGATATATTTGAACCATTTTTTACATATTTTTTTTTATCATAAAATTAATTAAAAATGTACAATTTTTAATGCTGACATATACGGTAGTTTTTATACTGTTTATCTAAATCTTACATCTTCAAAAATATGGCAACATATAAATGTTTCGCAATTATTAGTTAATTTAAACTTTCTTTAGTGAAAATAAATGCAGTTTTTCTACATTGAACCATTGAAATTGTGAGGGTGGAAAATCCTTAAAGAAAAGTTTCCTCATTGAAATACTGACTCAAGTTTCGATATATTGTATGTATTTTATAAGATTTTTTGTACATTCTAAAGAGCAGCAGAAGAATTGTTTTATTTGCAAATAAGATGTTGAAGGGTTTTAAATTTACTCTCAATAAATGCAAAAAGCATTGTATGAATATCTAGTAAAACAAGAAATGTCAGTCAGTGATTTTAGTTTTTTACATTAAAAAAAGTATAAAATATGTTAATTAAATTATGTTGTGATATAGACAACTCATTCCAGAAAATGAAAGCAGTACGTGTATCATTATGTTTTTCAAAATTTTCAAAAATAATGCATTTTTATTCATAAAGGTTTATCATTTCATTCAAATATTTTTTATTCACGTGATATGCTAGCTGATATAAACATTGAATATACTGTGCCTCTGTTCATATTTTTTTATTCATATTTCAAATTATATCACCAAAACACAGTCAGTAAATACATGTACCTGTAAAAAGTATTGAAAAATTAAGTAAATACGTGTATTTCCTAACATAAACAGAAAATACATGTATTTCCTAAGCAGAATAGGAATTTCATGTATTTCCTAAAATTCAGGAAATACATGAAATTCCTGATTACTCATATTTACTGTAACAGTAACATTATATGTATATATATGTATATATGTGTGTATATATATATATATATATATATATATATATATATATATATATATATATATATATATATATATATATATATATATATATATATATATACATACATATATATACATGTAATACTGATCGTCCGATATTTAAAAAAAAACCCTGCGGTGTCGAATGTCGTAATATATATATATATATATATATATATATATATATATATATATATATATATATATATATATATATATATATATATATATATATATATATATATATATATATATATATATATATATATATATATATATATATATATATATATATATATATATACGACATTCGACACCGCAGGGTTTTTTTTTAAATATCGGACGATCAGTATTACATGCATATACATATACACATGTATTTACTTTTAAATCGTGTATTTTGTTTTAAAATTAAATGATGTGCTAAAAACACTATCTGAAGCATTTTCAAATATTGAAAAGTGTTTTATTTAATGCCACGAATATAAACGCTAAATGTTTTATTACTTATTTATTTATCACCAAATTCGTTATACCGTGATAATCTCTATATTTAAAAAAGGCGGCGGTTTATCGAGAATTGAGTATATATATATATGTACCTCAGACCTTATGCATTTCATGCAGCCTTTTGTCTAAGCTAGCCGTGCACTATTACTTGCAAAAAATTGTGTTTAAATTGTGCAGAATTATATGCAATATGTTCAGCGTTTCGAGTAAACCTTATCGCCGAAATATGGCTGAAATATTGCCGATTCAGCGTTAAACAATAACAATCAATCAATCGAGTAAATCTTCCTGAGTTTCGGGTAAACTTTGATACGTTTTGAGTAGACCTTGTTGCACGTTGTTAACCCGAATAACGAATATCACGAATCTCTAAATACTTTTAATATAATTTTCGGGACACCTTTTTTTCGCGAGATAGTCATTGCCTCTTTATTAGCTAGAGAAAATTTTCACTAATTGTGATTATTGCTCTATATAATCTTTAGGAATACTTGTATAGGCGAGAATGAAATTTCTCGAGCACACTGTCTTGCGTAACTACGCGAAAATAAAGTTCTCGCGAATAAAAAGTGATTTACAATACTTCTGCCTACTAAGTCTGGACTTTCATGCTTCATCTTGTAATCAGTTGACACAGAGTACTCACTTTTGCTCCTGGCCACGTCAGTTGCTCTCGACTTTGGAGGCATTAATAAACTTTTTGGAGTGGGTAAAGATTCTGATGAAAATACATAAAATATTTTTAAAAAAATCAAATAATTTGTCCATTAAGATTAATTTTTTCTATCAAATAATATAAAGAACATTTTTTACCATTTACTTGAGCATAAATTTGCCATTTGCTTATTACTCTTGATGCACTTATTTCTCAAACCTAAGTACAATAAAAAATAATAACTTCATACCCATTTTACCATATACCATTTTTCTGTTATAAGTTTAGAAAGTGTGAATCTTTAACTTACTTATCCTCAAAGTTACATCTTCCGACATTTCCTCAATACAACACTCCTCAAAATTTTCCTCTGGAGATAAGTCTGTTATAAAAGAGTGAATAATTCGATAAAAATTTTAATGATCCACAAGAAAAATAAGATATTCAATAAATTTAATGTACTCATGACAAGTGAAAAAGAGTATTTCATATATATATATATATATATATATATATATATATATATATATATATATATATATATATATATATATATATATATATATAAGGGAAAAAGGGATTTCCGACTTTTAGTAGTGCTAATCACACCGACTTGCCACGAAGGCGTAATTCAAGAAGAGCGTCATTGTGACGTCACTTAAACACACGTTCGTCTGTATACTATATATCAAAAGAGCATTAAAATTAATTCCACACTTCGTTTTGTAAAAAGCACAGTTAATATACAGTGTACATGTAATTAAAAATTTATATAAATATATAATACACCTATATACTAACTATAAAGACAATAGCAAGTTTGTCTCCAAGGACAGCAATTATTTTCCGAGGCGCTGCATAGGGAAATGTTGCTACTGAAAGGGACGATAGACTTGCTAAATAATTATCTGAATAGTCAGTTAATATGTGTTATATTATACCAAAGCAGACACAAAAATTGATAGCGACCGAGCTATAATTTTCTGTGTCTGAGGTCAATACAACTTGACATTGGTCCTTATAACCACATATTGACTGTACACTGAAGTCCATAACAGTTATATAGTGTAAAATCAGTCAAAGTTAATAATCTGACATAGTTCTAACTGAACAGATTTTTCTGTAATAACGTCACAAGCTTCTTATATTAGACGTCACGTTGTACGTAACTTTGGAGCAAGCAGCCGAACGGTGAGTCGTGCGCGATATCACATTTAGCGTACGAGCTGTCGCGTCACTATCTCAAAAGTACAAATATCACGTGATATCCTTTAAGCCAATAAGAATTATAGAAATAATATATATATATATTATATATATATATTATATTATATATATTTTTCCTTAAGATTCTTTGCAAATTAATAGACTGTTCATTTTCTCATGAACTACCATGGATGAGCATGAATATCTCCATTGTTACGTCATAATACCGCACTCGACATCAAAACTATAGTGCAAACTGTTTTGCTTAAAAAAATGATAGTTGAATAGCGTAATTTATGGTGACTCATCAGAAAAATAATGTAAATATAAGAAATGAATTTAATTTTTGAAAATTCATGAGGTACATGAACTACAACGCTTCACGCCGGCATATTTATCATGAAGCGCTAACGCGCTTCACGAAATATGCCGTCGTGAAGCGTCGTAGTTCATGTCCTCATGAATCTTCAAAAATTAAATTATATATATATATATATATATATATATATATATATATATATATATATATATATATATATATATATATATATAAAGCACTAAAAACCAACAACACTGTATATCCTAAGTGTCGGATCTACTAAGTAGATACAAGGTCACGGATGGAAATTTATATAAAGCACTAAAAATGACCAACGACACGAACAATAATAATTGTCAAATTTTCGGGACGACCTGGGCTGACCAAGGTTTTGAAGCAGACAGAGGTGACAGATCTTGCTCAGGTAGCTCAGGTGGCGGAGGTGGTCGAGCTGAATGACGATTCCGACCAGGCCGAGGTGGACAAAATGGTAGAGGGCACTGAGGCGTTGGCATTGATTTTATTCCTCTTGCACAAAGTGAATTAAAATAATTAATGCTTCCACCTTTGTTTAATTCCTTGTGTTATTCTGTATCTATATATTTTGTTACAATTTCTTTGCCCTTTCTATCTACACCTACAAACGCAGTATGCTTGCATGTCACATTCACTTCTGTGCTTAATGCCACCATTAAACTCTCTGAAATCAAAACAAATGTGATGATATCTGAAATATTTGATTATTTTTTCGGATTCAATATAAATTGAATCCAATTTTCTTTACATGTGCATATTAGATACTACTATTCTATTCAAATCCCTGTATTTGCTATCCTCAATCCTATTTTCCATACATAGCTATTTTAATTCTATTCCACTTAATCTGTTTGCTATCCGCAATTAACTTTATTTTCTCATGTGTACATGTTTTTTAATTCTTAAAGCTATATATGCTGTATTAGTGACACATTCTTAAGGAAATAAATATATGTAGTTTTTCATCAAGCTATATATATATTATAAGCTATATATACTTTCTGCAAATAAGACATTTTCATTCGATCACTTTAAATAATACTCATGGTAATTTAATATGAAATTCTTAATTTTTCGTGTCGTATAATAAACGCCTCCTTTTGAATTATTCATGATCACATGACCTCGCAAGCTGACTTTAGAAAGTAAACAAATATAATACGCCAAAGCGTAGACGGCTTGTTGGTGGAGGTATAACGCATTCAGCGATTACTTTGAGTGTTGCTCGACTGGTAGACCTATTTGTTATGAAATATATTTTTAAGTCTTATGGCGTATTTCTTAGAAGTTCAGACTAACTAAAATTAAAAAGATCTTTCTCTTTGTTTTATTAGTTTATATAAAGATAGGACTTTCCCGTAAATTACACAATTTAAATCAATCACGTTTCAAAGAAATTAGAAATATAAAACAATAAACGATTTATTTACCGACTCCGCATTTAAATAACAGACACAGTTTGAAGTCAATTTAACTGTGAAAACATAAGGTTAATCAAGTGCAAAATCGGTGAAAATTTTAATTTGAACGTGAATTACGTATATCATGTTTATCGACACTCAATCTCGTATTTTTATTTTCTAGCTCAGATACGCCATATATAGCTTTTAATATGTATAAAGAAGTGCATATATATATATATATATATATATATATATATATATATATATATATATATATATATATATATATATTAGGAAATCATTTCCAGCTACGCAATAATCTAATTTTTACGGCATATATAGCTTTAAAGGAAATATACCTTAGAAGTTCAACTTTTTTAAAAAAAAAAACTTTTTAATGCGCAATATTGATATCTGGAAGATATTAATAATGTAAAGTAAATTATTAGTTGAAGTATTTCTTTGAAATTTTTTTCTTTTTGTGAATGAAGAATTTGCTCTTTGATTTAAAATCGCCAAATCTTTAACCAATGCTTGGAATACTTTAAGGTCTAAAATTACAAACGATTGTAGCATAATAATTTAACGGGCACGGTTTTTAAATGACAATTTTGATTTTTCTTGAGTTATTAAGATGTGAATTTTATAGGAGTATTATCTACAACGTAGGTTGCGAATAGTGTAGGTGTGCTTGAAGAATGTTTATAAAATAAAAGACTTTATTTCATTTTCATCAGTGAAATACTGTGATTTATTTATTGAATAAAAGTGATATTCTCTCACAGAGTGAATGGATACCAATTTGGTAATCTGTCACAGTGTGAAAGGATATCAACGTGCGTAAAAATAATTTCTGACCTGTCATAAGATACAGATAGTAACTAATCCATCTTGAGAGAGTATAAAACTGCAAATTTCTTTCCTAATATGTTGCTAAAATCTATGTTACAATATTTTCGATAGGTCTCACAACTGCTAAGCTATGACGTCTCAACCGCTCAACTATGACGTCACAGCCTATGACTGTGTTAAGAAAAGACAGAGGCAAAGGGAAAATTTAAAAAAATGAATAAACAGAAAATTCAATGTTTTGTAGATGGATATGGAATTTATTTCACTTGTGAGACAGGGTTTTTATAACCCACGCAACAATATGCAGGGGGGGGGGGTATAATGTTTTTGACCCGTCCGTCCGTCAGTCAGTCAGGCAGTCAGTCCGTCAGTTCTGTCTTTTTTTGTCAGCGCAACTCCTCATAAACCACTGCACAGAATTTCGTCAAACTTTGCAAATATTTAGAATATAATGTGTAGATGTGCATATTACCAGCAAATTCCGATTCCTTTATTTTTTCTGGGAATTTCGGCACTTTTCAACTTAGATTTTTGGCCATATCTTGAATATAGAGATGAACAGTTTGTCAGCGCAACTCCTCTTAAACCGCTGCACAGAATTTGGTCAAACTTTGCAGATATTTAGTACACAGTGTGTAAATTTGCATATTACCAGGAAATTCCGATTCCATTATTTTTCTGGGAATTTTGGCACTTTTCAACTTAGATTTTTGGCCGTATCTTGAATATAGAGATGAACAGTTTAATTGTCAGTGCAACTCTTCTTAAAGTGCTGCACAGAATTTGGTCAAACTTTGCAGATATTTAGTACACAGTGTGTAGATGTGCATATTACCAGGAAATTCCGATTCCATTATTTTTTCCCTAAGAGTTTTGCCTATTATTGAAGAAACTTTCCAGCTAGGTAATAAGGAAATCCACTGCAATCAGCTTTTGTAATGAAATTTTATGTGAAATATGTTATGACCTTAAAAGACCCTTATTGATTTTGAGATCAAAATATTAATAATTTAACAATCACACACATAAAATCTTGGATAGTTCTCACCCCACCCCACCCCCTCAATTTGGTGCTTTGCCTCAAATAATTTCATAAGTACAGTATATAAACAAATTCATTTGACTGCATCATAATTTTGTTTCCATCAATAACTTAAATGTGTAAATTGTCATGTGTTGGACATGGACTTACACTCATTAACAAATCGAAATCAATGGGGAATTTAAATAACAGTTTGTCAGCATAACTCCTGCACTGAATTTCCTGAAACTTTGTAGGTATTTAAGACATAATGTATAGATTTGTATATTACTAAGAAATTTTGATTCCATTATTTATCTAGAAACTTCAGCCCAATTTAATTTGTAACATACAAACATTTGAATGTCCTTATATGCAAAAAGTTTTGATGTGATTATTTTTTTTGCAAGTAATGCCCCTTTTTGAATTATATTGTGTATTTAAAATGCACTGTTCCATTCATTACGTGTTGCATTGTCGAGTTTTGGGGGGAGCGTGGGGTATATGAGCTTGCTCACTTTTTCTTTCATTTTTTCTATTTTCACGAGTGCGAAGCACTCGTGAAAATATCAAAAAATCCTGTCCCACTCGTGAAATAAATACCATTACCAACTACAAAACATTGAATATCCTCTATTATTTTTTTAAAGAGGACAAAACCCTAATTTATGTTTAATCACTGATAAAAACAAAAACTAATAATAAATTTAATAATGATTAAAATGGTGATCATTACCATCGGCATTTTTTATTTCCATCTCTGATAATCTGGATTTAGTCGCTAATCTATGAAGTGGACATGATCCATCTGTGTCGTCAGACTTGCTGGTGTTCAAGACAAAATCCACATTATATTCCACATTTTTGTCACCTACCTTACCTGTCAACTTCATCGACTGTGTCTTTGAGGAATGCTGTTGAAACATTTATAATTTCATTTCACAAAGATGGGATACCTTACACGGAATGTTGAAATTGTTAAATGGGTTAAATAGCGGTAACTAGATTATAACATATATAATTTTTTTCTTCATCAGTAATTTTCCAACAATAATCATTAATAGAAAACCATAAAGTTCATTTTTGCTGAAACTTAAGGCCCTATTTGGGCCTTAGTTAGCACTGATAATATAATCATTGTAAAATGTAACCAACCAAACTCAGGATCCAAAAGAAGAGTTCAGGCATTATACAAAGTTTTTAATTACTGTTTCTGTACGGGAAATTGGTACCCTTACTGTTCCGAAACTACACCAGGTTTCTCAATTCATTAACGATTTTTGAAATAACTCTGAGGAATATTTCAATGAATGTCAATGTGAGAACGCGCGGATCACCTAATTCGGACCAGATGAACTAATGATAATATAATGTACCGAACAGACAAATTGTATTGTAATGTTCAAGTTGTATTTAAACATGCCAAGAGAAAGGAGAAAAAAGTCATTGGTCAGCTCTGTATGAGCATTGCTATAAAAGTTGATTATCTGATACGTTCTATCACAGACATCTTGTGAGTCTGGGCACGTAATCAGAATCTAGGAATTGGTAGGTTTATTGTCGTTGGGAAACCAAAAAAAAAATTCTGTTTTTTCGTTTGAAGTTGCTTTGTAAAAATGATATACCTCTGATACATCTCCCGATATAATTGCATAAAGAATTAGTTTTTCTCCTTGAAAAACTGGAGGGACTTCTTCAGGAGCATTGAGGACAGAGCAACCTTCAGGGATATTCCAAGTTAATGACACATCCGTAATTCCACATTGTACACTGTTCTTCATCACAGACATAACCTGTATATAAATAACACAACATAGGTTTATATTTATATGAAAGCCCAGAAGGCTCATTCGCGATTCAAATTTCGAAATCGAAAATACGAGATTCGAATTTCGAGATTCAAATTTTAAATTAAGCATTCAAAAGGCGGTTTAAGGTTCAATTACTCCTCTTTGCTAAGTTTTGACCATCAAGAAATATATTTCAAGAAATATATTGAATATATTTATAACGAACATGTCATTTGATTAAATAACAATGCAAGAAAGAGTGTTCGATACATAAGAGCGAAATTTAAAAATATTTTAGATTTTAGTCCGCAAAATATGCTTAAATTTATATCATAACTTCTTAAATGTTATAATAGATTTAAATCAAGAACATCTATATCGCATTATCTAGTTTGTTTACAGTGTAACTGTGGGGCAGATGGGATCATTATTATAAATCGTATTAGTCGGATTCTTTGAAAGTGAAAATAGGGGTCGTATTGTAGTTGATGAGAATTATAAGCGTGCAATATATCAGGTGACTAGTGAGTCATAGTAAGAAGGGTTTCAAAGTGGATACAGTGTTTGTGACATGGTATTACAAAGTGGCCATTGACCAAGTTTGTGAAACCAAGAGACAACCCCTTAAGTACGGGTGGTTCAAACATACATGCTTAATATAGATAATGATCTCTCTGTTCAGGCCCGTAGGAAACACTAAATACAAATTTAATTTCTTTTAAAGCCTCCCCTCCCACCCACCCACCCCCCCAAAAAAGGGTTATTAGATGTTAATATTGAAGGGGCACAAGCATAAAGTTGCTTTGTTGTCTATAGTATACTATATACCGTGCTCAGAGTCCTACGGCCATGTTGTTTACTTTATTACATCGGTAGACAAGTGTTCAGTAATTTGTATATTCAACAGATTATATTCATAATTAAATAATCCAGAAATAAATTTATACAATATTTATTGAAACAAGGTTATTTGCAATATGATTATCGAAATTAGTGTCATTGTTGACCAGCATGGTCATTGATGTGTAACACTGATACCCAAATAACATGCGTGGACTACACAGAGGCGATTGAAACCTCATGTGTTGACACCTTTTCTATAAAACGTGAGCTTTAATTAATCGTCCAAGCAATATAGTTCTAATGTCTCAAATGTACACAAAAGAAATAATAAATTAGGCACACAAAAGAAATAATAAATAAGACACAATTCCCGATATTTTCAAACTTTTTAAAAAAAATAATTATATGTACCTTTTAATAGCTTGTTTATAAATTAAAAATTAAAAAAATCCACGAATAACTGTTCACATTGTTTACGTAACGGAAGAATGGTAGAATAATTTTATTTTATGGTCATTTAATAATTATTAGGTTTTATTTTGAAGGCGGTAAAAAACGTGTTTTTTTTAAATCGTGGTAAAAGATTTTTCAATTAAAAAATTCCAGTTTCAATATCTAAGTGTAATGACAAGTTCGTTTTTTTAGAATAATGCTAATGCACACTTTGAGTACAAAATTCTAGAGTATTAATTAATAAAATAAATTATTTTGATTCAAACACCTGTATTAACGTTAGATTTACGCGAAATATCATTTCCTGACCTCCATTTTTTTATATTGACAAAACAACTTTAATTTTTCTGATTAATTCCAGACTGCGATGGTGTGAATTTACAGCCCCTGAATACCTTTAATGTCCTTTGTGCTTTCAAGGTCGGCGGTTTACACATGTACATAAATATCCTATTTTTCTTCAGTAACTATCCCTGCTAATTAAAATTTTATAAGAAATCCCTTTTTATTTTTATTTCAACAACCTGTCTGCTGAAAGTAAACAAACCTAAAATTTGGAATACACAAGGGGCAGGGCTATCATGTCAGTTACAACCTTTTTCACGCAAAAGTGGACAAAGTTGTCCCAGAGAGCAGTCCCGGGAACTGCTGAGACTGCTAGGTTTGCTTTCTAGAGCAGTCCCACAGTAGTCCCAGAATAGTCCCACAGCGGTCCCAGAGCAATCCCACAACAGTCACAGAGCGATCCCATAGCAGTCCCCGGGATTGCTTTCTGGGACTGCTTGGGTGTCAGGTTGGGTCTGGTTGGTACTGTATGTACTTGAGCTTCCATCTCTCTTGATAAATTACCATCTGTGGAACTTCCTTGACAAAGTATATGCAAGTGGCATTTGTTTACTTGGAACATGTACAAACTTGATACTGTACCTTTTAACTGAAGTATCATGCACTGCAGTTTAGCTGGAGCTGCACGTATGGACTTTTCCATGATAGAGGTCAGTGGCTAATGGTCAGTTTGCACTGTTATTTAATGACCATAGAATACTGGTGGAAATGTATGCAGGTGCATATTACTGCATACATTTCTTTTTCAATTTATGCATAAATGAACCTCAGTTGGTGTCAAGAACTTTGAAGCATATGCAAGTGGGTGACCTTGCGACAAAGTGGCTCCTAAGCCAAACTTTGATGCATCTAGCTGTAAGGTGATCTCTCTCTGGGGATCAAAATATGCTAACATAGGTCCTGAAGACCTTATCAATAATTCTTTGACCTTTGGAAAAGCAGCTTCATGATCATGGCTCCATTCAGACTTAGTAATTTTCTCATAGGGCTGGTTATGTATGATAGGTTGGGTGCAAATTGTGAAAGGCAATTATAATGCCCAAGACGGTTCCCAGTTCTGCTTTGTTTTTATGGGGCTGCATGTCCTTAATGGCTAAAACCTTTCTGGTATCAGGCTTGAGACCTTGAGAGGTAGTTATACGACCAAAATATTGCACTTCAGTGCTTCCTACTACTAACTTCTCAGTAATTAGTTTAATGCTTTTACACTTAGTCACACTTAATAATTGCTGATTTAATGCCCTTCTCATTCAGCTTATCAAAAACAGTCCTACGGTAAGTTAACTAACAGGAACAACACAAATGGCGCCAAAATATGAATACTGCTAAAATACATATAAGTACGTTCATAGTATATCATACTGCACATTGAAACTATTAAAACTATTAAAATGTACATCTTTTTCTCTTCTCATTCTTAAAGAGTAAGCAGTTATAGCCCTTATTCATCTCAGATTGTGTCCATAAACATTATTCATCTTTGCCTACAAAGTTTTCAGAGGATAAAATACAGAATATTGAGAAATTGTTTTAAATCTTATGTTAAAACCCTAATAAAAAATACTATAGTTAGCTATAGTTTACTATAGTATCAAAGTTTTTATACTATAGTAAATCAAAGTATTTTTTACTATACATTTCAGATTGTTATATTTTTGTTCTTCAATTCACACATACACATATTTTATATAAAATGGAACTATTATTTGTATTTTCACATATTATTTCCAAATTTTAAATCACTTTTATCGAATTTAAGAGATTTTAAGCTTTGAAGTCTTAAAAAAAAGTTCCAGTGTAAGGTTTCATAGTAAATCAAAGTATGAAAGTTTTTACTATATATAGTTAACTATAGTAAACTATAATTCACTATAGTAAATTTTTGTTAGGGAAGCTTCTCTCTCTCTCTCTCTCTCTCTCTCTCTCAGAATAGTTTTGATTAAAACTTAAAGTGTATACCAGTTCTTCAGTGTTTAAATGTCATATCTTTCAGATTTAATATCAATATCAATTTTCATACCCTACCTTCGACTGTAGTCTATCAGTGTCTTTCACAAAAGTGGCTTTTCCGTTGCTTGCTTTGGCGACCTCCCTTATCAGTTCTGTTGAACAGCCATCTCCAATACCAAAGGTAAAGACTCTGTATGAAAATAAATCAAAATGTAAAAATGTGTAAAAATAAACGTAAGTTTTTTTCTAATTCATTTGACATTGCATCATCTCAGCAAAATAAAAAAAAGGAACTTCATCACAATATTACAATAAATTTTCAATTTGGCACTCGCACAACCATTCATACATCAGTATGTCTAGTCAAGTCCTATTACTTCCTGTTACTAAGCATATCAGAGATTTAATGAAGTTATCAACAGTTATTCTTCTTAAACCTTCAGATATATAATCTTAAAAGCTTGAGTTACTATTTCTCTTTTAACCTTGTCAGTATTGATTTCAATGTAAATTCAAAAAAGTCTTTACACAAGGAACCAATTCAGTTATAGCTTGATTTAGGAAGAGAAATAAGAAAATTATAAAGTTTCGGCTAAATAAGTGTTGTTGTTTTTTTTTACAAGAGTGACACCTATTCTATTGTTGATACGATTCATTTTTTGGTGAATTAATTTTATAATTTATATCAATCCGTTACATTTTCTTATTCTACTGAAAAAATAATAGAAACAAAAGTGAAAGCTTAAGGTTGTGGATACGAAATCTAGTTCCATCTTGATGATAAACTTAAATTGATCTTTTTTATAAACCCAAGTCGTTTTTGTTTTAAAAACTTTTAATCTTTAACCCAGCAAATAAAACTAAAATATCAAACAGAAATGGTGAATTGTCAAGGGCCAGCGATGTGCCTTCAGCAAACTGGGAGATTTTATGTCTTTTTCATTCACAGTCATACATTTAATTTGATGGCATTTGTTTATTGGGTTTCAGCACAGAGGAAATGCATATACTAAGCAACAGAGTACCCTGTCTTAAACGTCACCAAATATGATTGATAAAATCCCAAATTTTAAAGCTGATTCTTTAAATTTGTATTCAAGATCTTAATCCAGTCAATATTTTTTCTAAACATCACAGAATTTTACTACACTCAATAACATCAAAAAGTACGACTTTTCAACACTTTATACAACCATTCCCCATGATGAATTAAAATTCCAGAATGTTTGACATCATAGACAGCAGCTTTTTAAAATAAAAATTGAACTCAAAAAGTTATTTATCTTGTCAATTGTCATTTGCAAAATTATTTTGTTAAAAAAAACAATCTGATTGTACACACAAGTACTCCAAAGTCGATATTAAAAAGTTTGCTTGAGTTTCTAATTGACAAGGTCTATGTAGTTTTTGGAGATTGAATCTTCCAACAATCTGTCGGAATTTCTATGGGTACCAGTTGCGCCCCGTTATTAGCAGACCTATTTTTTTATAATTTGAAGCAAAATTTATTCAAAAACGTTTTCATGAGAAGAGAACACTTGCTGTGGCCTTCAACTCGACATTTAGATATATCGACGACGTATTACCAATTAAGAATAGTTACTTCCTTTCATTTTCGATTTATCCCAGTGAACTTGAAATAAAAGATAACACAGAGTCTGACAGATCTGTTTCATATTTGCATGTTTTACTAGAACAAGACGTCAATGGTAACCTAACAACAAAACTTTATGATAAACGTGGTGACTTCAATTTTTCTATCGTCAATTTCCCTTTCTTATGTATCAATATATCCTTATTACCTTCATATGGAGTTAATGTCTCCCAGTTGATTCAATACGCAAAAGCATGCTCTAAGTGCAAACAATTTCTAAAACGAGGCAAGCTATTAACTAACAAGTTGATAAAACAAGGATATAAACAGTCTCGTTTAAAGTCAGCATTTCGCAAGTTTAAGGGTCGATAGAATACCTTTGTCAGCAAGTACATTCTATCACTAAGTCGAATTCTGACGAACGTTTTTCATACTTATTGTTAGGCCATCATTCACACACTAAATTGTTCACGGTTTTTTCCGTTTGCCCGATCATGACAAGGAGTATATAGCGGGCATGACCGGTCGACACGGGGTGCTTACTCCTCCATGGCACTTGATCCTACCTCTGATGTTTTTAGAGGTCCGTGTTTGCTCTGCTTCCAATTTGTATTGTTTCAATGGACTTTTGAGCTTGATTACTGTTCGTTATCTCCATATTTCATGCATCAAATTAATTCATCCATTGATCCTTACGTCGCGGGTTCGAACTCCATTGCGAACATTGAGAACGGTCTTTCGGATGAGACCATATAAACCGAGGTCAAATGACGTAGTAGGTACTGGCCTGAAAAAGTTCCCTCACTGCTCAAAGGGCCTTGGTGCCGAGTAGATGTGCAGGTCTAAATTTTCAGCCCCTCCACCCGCGAAGAAAATGTAATAAACAGAAAGTTAATATTTTGTAGTTGAGTTTGGAATTTATTTCACTCCTGAAACAGGATATTTTTATATATTCACTTGTGATTTCCACTCGTGAAAATATCAAAAAATCTTGTCCTACTAGTTAAATAAATACCACATTCAATTACAAAACATTTAAAATCGTCTATATATAGCATGAAGTACTTCTGACATCAGTAGTAAAGATTGAAAAGACGTGTAAAATTCTGAAAGGATTAACTCCTATCCAAAATGACTGATGGGGAAGAATGGGACGAAATATCTAATAAGCTTGTCATACCTGGTGTTTTTCTGGTTTTTCACTAATTTGATTATTTCTGGAATATTCCTGACTTCTCCATCTGTCAGCAGAAAAACCTTAAAATTCATTTGACATATATTTTTCTTATGACTGAATAATTTTATTTTACAGCATGTTTCATTAGTTGTCACTAGTTGTGTAAATTAACAGACATCAATAAAGATTTTCCATTAGCATTATCTGTTTCATATACACAAATTAATCTCAAATTTGAAAAAAAAAAAAAAAAAAAAAAAAAAAAAGATTTTCGATCTTGCAAACTTCTGATAAAAATTCTTGGCAGGTAAAGCTTTTTTCAAAAATAATTTTTCGTAAATATAAATGCATTACTTGTCTAGCATAGAAACCAGACGGTTTATTACTGAAGACATTTTCCAACGGTTTGAAGATTTCTGTCCCTCTCATATCAGCTTCCATCGTCTTTTGTAGATTGAGAGCTTCTTCTAAATTCTTCTCGTTATACTCTACACTTCTTCAATAATAATGAAATAAACTTATTACAATCTTTAATGAGAAACTCACATAAAAAAGCGCCGGAAACTACGTTGGTATATCGCCAATGGCAATTTTACACTGATTGTAGGCCTATTTGTATTTATGAAATACTACGCGTTTACTTATGAAGAGTTCATATTTTAAATACAGACCTAGGAGCTTTTTCATTTAAACTTACTTTGGAAACAAAGAAGAAAAACGTGACCCAAAGCTGACGACATTGAAGATACAGTTCACAGGAAGACTCTTCAAGAGCAGCAGTAAGGTCTCCTTGGCTTTCTTCATACGAGGACCTCTCATTGACTCTATTCAAAATAATTTGAATAGGATATACTTTGCATTAAACTCACAAGCATTTATCTATCGAGGCATGATATTTTCCATACCTTTTCGAATGTACTATTATTTTTAACCTTAATCTTGAAGTTTGACCTACCTTTCAAGGTTTTTTTTTTTTTTTTAATTTTGGCATGATTGACAATATGCTATAAAGCACCCAAACCAATAAAACTCCGAAAGCAGGAGATTCTAATTCTTTGAATCTGCTTGTTTTATATTCCCTTCAAAGGAATGACCATTTATTTGAACAAACTTGATTCCTCTTCACCAAATGATACTCTGTGCACATTCGATTAAAGGAGTTTAGGAATATGTGAAAAGTTTACATTTACGACAACAACGTTAACACGTACAGACAGAAGAAAAAAAATCTTTCAGAAAAGTTCAATTGAGCCTTCTTCCCGATTGAACTAAGGATTGATTCACCAGGGATGGGGTAATTGAAAAAAATAATTGTAATTGAGTATAATTAATTACATTTTTTTCAAAGTAATTGGAAGTAATTTGTAATTGACCATTTTTTCAATTACTTGTAATTGAGTATAATAAATTACATTGAAAAAAATACCCTGTAGTTTCAGTTACTTTTCAACTACATTTCAATTACTTTACATAATACATATTAAGTGTAATTAATAGGAAAATATTTCCAACACAGTCACATTTTACAGTTATTTTAAATTTATTCAAAGAAGCCCTTCTGTTTTTCAAATATTAAACTTTTTATAGCTCAATAAATGAATTTGATATATTGGCTTGTTTACAAAAATATTAGTTTGTTTTATAATTATAATGCACATAAAGAATTAATACTGGTTTATAATGTTTATCAAAAATTTTGTTCTACCTCTCATTGGTATAGACATGAAAACATTTAAATTTTGTGTTGCTTGATTATGAAAAAAAGAATAGAAAATGATTTAATGTGTCATTAAGACCTGCCTTGTTGCCCCTTCAACTCCCAACTGTAAATTGCTATAAAAACCCTCCAGAGTTTTATATATTTTATACTATGCTTTCTTTAAATTCAAAGATATGACCATTACGGTGTGTTCCCGTTTTGCACACATTTGATAATTAGGTATAGAACAATAGGTATGAAATGTGTTTAGATAACAATTATAGTCTGATTTCTGGTTAGGATTTACCTGGATTTACCTGTATTTTACCTATGTATTCTACAATGGAAGAATAAATATTTATTTAATGTAGACAATTTTTATTGGAAAAAGGGGATATTATTGTTATTTATTCATATAAATTATTATATTTAGAAAAATAACTGCCATTTCTTGAAAAATAAATAATTTTAAAGCTAATAATTCATAAATTCACTTTGATTACTATTCAGGATTAATCATTTAGCAGGAATTTCTATTTTGTTATTAAAAGTAAAGAAATAATTAAAATCAAAACTTAAAATGCACATAATTTTATTATTTTGTTTAATTTCTAATTTTATTTCCTATTCTCCCCCTATGGGTTCACCTTTCTTCCATTTACTATACTATAACTACCTTGTATGATACAGACTATACCAATTAAGTAATTATCTTTCCTGGACAAATTCCCGTTTTGCACACTTTTTTTCTATGCTTGAAATTCAAATGTGTGCAAAACGGGAACAAACCGACCATTAGAGGTGATTTATTAAATACTATTAAGAATGCTCTACTATTTATATACTTCAGAAAAAAAATTAATATTGAAATCACTATTTTAACATTTAAACAGATCTTAATATGAAATATTTATTACATAAAACAAGTATTATTTGTCAACATTTGCAATTTAAGGTGTTTAGCTTGCCTACCTGTAGCTGAAATAGTTTGAGAGTATTTTATGGTTGAATCATAAACTCTTGAAATCTTGCTTTTAATCAAATTTCATAAAGGCAGTCAAATGATAAACGTACATGTAGGACTACATGTAGGTCTTATGTTGATGAAGCACACAAACATGACAGGCACCTGACATTATTTATTTTAAATATTCCCCCTACCTTAAATATACATGTATTTGTTCTTCAAGATTTCTTAAAGTGAAACAAAGTAATTGAAATGTATCTAATTACATTCTTCAAAGTAATTGAGAGTAATTAATTACATTTGTAAAAATCAATGTAATTGTAATTGTAATTGCAAGTAATTGATCATGACAAAATTTTCAATGTATTTGAAAGTATTTAATTACATTTCAAAGTAATTGACCCCAACCCTGTGATTCACAATTATATATATATATATATATATATATATATATATATATATATATATATATATATATATATATATATATATATATTTATATATATTTATATATATTTATATATTAATTATTATTATATATATATATTTTCAATTTTGGTTAAAAATGTATTTTAGAAATCACAACTAGAGTAAACGAAAATGTCTATCAAATGCGCTTTATGACTCTTTTGTTTGTTACCAGTAAAACTGTGGTTAACATTTTATATTTGAGAAATTGATTAAATGAGAATTTTAATTTTTTTTTCTTTATTTTCAAGTTTTAATACGAATTTAAATCTGTAAAAGCTTTATATTTATTCTTACCAGAACGATCAATTATAAAAACAAATTCACATGGCATGTCCGTGTCCAAGTTCTTGAATTCTGGTGAGAAATTAATCATCAGTACATCCGTCGATAAAAACGACTCTGCAAGAAAACCAAATTATATATTCCAAAGAGCTTATTCTAAAATTTGGTTTCAAAGAAAAGGAAATTAATGAATAGAAGATGATTATATTTTCTTACTTCCACAGTCTTTCATTCCTTTCTCTAGCACAGTTCCTGGATTCTCAAAACCTTTGTAGTTTAAAACTAATGTGAAATCAGATCCATGTTTGAGCTGTTTTGATGACGTCATCTGCGGGAGAAAATAATTGTTATTTCTACTGCGCAATGATAACAAACGTTTCTAAACAGAAATTTATCCTTAATTGCTATGTTTTCATTCACTTAAAAAAACATGATTGTGAAAGGGAAATAGAGGAACAGAAAATTTTTTATTTATTTCCTCTAATCATTCTAATAGTAGGTCAATGGACCATTTTCAACAAAATTCAGTGTGATTTAATAAATATTATCCGATATGTACGTTAACTTTTTTTTCCACTACGGAATTCCATATCTTTTATACGCGTTATGATTAAAATAATTATTGTGAGTTGATACCTTATTTTCGAGTGTATCTGCCACCACATCAAACTCAATCTTGTTTTCTGAATCCAAAAGATTTTCACCCCCATCAACTACAGCTTCCAAATTCATGGTAAAATCTGAACAGTATGTCATTCCAATGTCGCACTCAGATGTAAAGATTTTTGCTGTGTTATTCTCCTCTGACTTTGGTTCATCTTTTGTTGCTTAAAAGTATTTTTAAAAAGAAAAGAAATCAAACAGGCATATAAGTTGCATTCTCAATGGAATGTTAATATGGAACATACAGTTTAATATGCATTGAAAGTTTGCGAAGATTAATGGGTGAAGGAAATTTAAACAATTTGAATTAATTTTCCAAATTATTTATGGGTTCATCCATGTAATTATTTTGAAAATCGGTAGGGAAGAAAAGAAGTTCACTTAGACGAAATAATTACTAAAGAAGTAAACAACATTTTCAAAGGTAAGCATCGTGCATTGTATAACCAATAAGGAGTAAAACTGCAGTCGTTTGACTCCGTTTTATCAGGTAAGAATAAACTGTCTAAATTTTGTTAAAATAATGGATATAATATCTTAAATGGGATATAAATATCAATTGCGAAAAAAAACAAAAATTTATATGGCTATGGAGATTGTAAATCCGCGGAGAGAATACAAACAAATCATCAACTTTGATACACAAGGTTTTCTGTATCTCTGCTGCTTCGGACACTTACCCCACTAAAAATCCAAAACATTTTGAAGATCAATCTCAAAAAATGATAGGTTTGTCAAAAATTGCTACTTTTAAATCATGAAATATATGGAAATAACGAACAGTATTCAAGCTCAAAAGTCCATTGAAACAATACAAATCAGGAGCAGAGCAAACACGGACCTCCTAAACATCAGAGGTGGGATCAGGTGCCATGGCGGAGTAAGCATCCCCTGCCGACCGGTCACACCCACCGTGTGTTCTGCGAGTGAAAAAATCAATTTATGTGTATTTTTAAAACGTTTTATTATTATTATTATTATTATTATTATTATTAAGTAATTATTATACATTTTTTATTAAAACAAAAAGTTGAATCCCTTTGCGATATTGTGTCCTATTTAGATAATTGGCCGTAAAGGTTTGCAAGATGAAATCCTGAAAACGTGCTCTTCGACATTATAACTATTATTTACAAAGATGCCGGGTAAACTGTAGGAATTAAGTGTCTACAGCAGTTCATATTACTGTGAAAGATTTATTCTACCATAAAATTAACTAAACATATTCTCGAAATCGATTCTTCTTAGACTTGTTTATTGAGATGCAAGTTATAAACATTATAGACAGAAATGTCTACTTAGACTCACAGCAGTCGGGGGCATATCTTGGATTAAGAACTGTTGGGAGCATAAATGTCCCTGTATTATCGGAGGACAAATCCAGCTCCATTGCATAAGCAAATGTGAGTTTAGCAGCTTTCTTGGCAGGGAAATTTCCGAGTTTAAGACGAAATATATCTCCAGCGTTGTCATCTTCTCCCATGTACATGGCACTATGACCAGAATCAATGGCATCTTTGTATGTCTCTTTTGCCTTTTAAGAATAAAATCAACAACATTTAAGAAAAGATAAAAGACATGCTATTAGGTGATTTTACAGAACGTTATTAGGTATAGGTACCTGTGATTTTTCCTGAACCTCTGCTACAATGGCCCTGCCGTCTATGTCGGCTTCAAACTTGTAGACCGCTGCCTCAGAGTCTAATGGAAACACGAACTCTGTTTCGATGTTCTCGTCAGAGTCGTTAATATAAAAAAGATCAGAAGTCACGTTTGCTATGAATCCATGGATCGCCACCTGAATATTAATTTCCTTTAACGGAACTGTAAAATATATTTTTTTTCAATTAGAAAAATAAAGAAAATCATATTAACAATCATTAAGAAAACAATCTTAATTCAAAACAACATGAACTGTTTGACCGCATATGAAACCAATAACACTGACCAATCATATTGCATAAATGTTTACGAGTATGCATTTATTGAACAATTAAAAATGGTCAATCAAAGTCCGTTTTACTTCCTACAACCATAGTGTCATTTTGTACTAGAAATCTCCCAAATACGTTCTGCTCTCCCTGGAACTTTCAATAGCAGGGAAGGAACCTGCTAAAGATTTATCATAATACTTTGATCAGCACATCAATGGCTAGCATTCGTTAAGCGAAATACGGGGAACATGATGTTCTCCTTACTAGAAAACACTTTCACTTCGTAAACAAACATTCATTGCGAATGGTTAGTATTATCAGTGATATTGTTGGGTTCTGCGTTTAATATGCAAAATAGTATTTATTTTAGTGAAACTAATAGATGTGTAATATGATATTCAATGAATGAAACATTTCCACGTTCGGTCAAGAGAACAGACACGCTGTTAATGGAATGAGAGTAATCTTACCACAACGATTTTTGGTCAGTGATGTTAGTCCACATTTATATCTGCTCATGGTGAAGCTTGGTTTTTAAAATGAAGGCAAATAACACTGAAAGGTAATAAAGCTGATTTAAACGTCAATTATTTAATATTCAGAACAGCAAAGGACCTTGTAAAGTGATTGGTTGGTTTATTTGAAAAAGTTTTAAATTTCAGGAAGTTTTGAAGATAATAGAGATAGAGATCAAAATATGGGTAAAGAAAAGGGGGTTTCCATCCTATGATGAATTCAATGAAAATTACGCCGTATATACCTACAGTCGACGCATGAATACTTGTGCTTGTCTATCTCTAGATCTAAGAACAGGAACTCAGTACCACAAACAAAAGTGATAAGCATTTATAAATATTATTCAAAAGCCTTGAGTTTTAAGGACAGGTCTGTCATTCACCCGATATTTTCAGAAAAGTGTACATGCCTTCCAATAATCTATATGTATTAAAACAATGGTACTTCTGTACATTCATCATTATCTTAAAACAACTTCTCAATTAAACTTCAAGTCTATAATTAAAACAGGAAATTACCGTGGATACTTTTGCTTCACACCTTGTCAGAAGTATGAAATAGGTCACGGATGTTGTACCCAGTAATCCAAAGAGAATATCTGTCAAATCCAGAATTAAATTTACATAACTGTCAACGGCCTGTCAATGCAAACATTTAGAGCTTCATGTCTATTTACCTGCAAAATCATGAAAATAAAACTTTTAATACAAATCCCTTGTACACCTGCACCTCCACTTTGTTGAATCTTGGTTTAATGATGATCAAGTATATTCCAGGTATATATATACATGTAATACGCATTAAAGGAAAACCCTGTCTTGTATAATAATAGCAACATTCTTCAACTAAAATGTTCTTCAACGTTCTTCATGTTCGACAAAGTTAGGTATATAGTTCATCAAGGCAAGTTCACTGCCAGTCTCTAAAAAGTTGATTGCATTACTAATAATAATGGTTTTTTCCTCCCAAATTAAAAAGTTATGTTTGCTTCTGGCAGATTCAAGTAGTAATATTTCAACACCTTCGTGCCTTCGATATCAGGAAGAAGAATTATAAACTCTCTGTTTGGCTGTATATCGTGCATATTTGAGAAAATTTCCACTGCAAAAATATGCGTAGAATCTACACAGCAAAAAAATAGTTACATTGAACAAAACATGATAATTATAGCTTCAGGATGGAGATAAAAATTATTGAATTAATTTTAGTGGGGATTAGGCACGTATTTGAAATTCTTTTCTATGGAATTTTATGACTCAAATGTTGTAAGAACATTTACATGTAAGACCGATATTTTATTTTTAAAAAAAATCGAATTTAGATACTTTTTTTTAACTGAAAATTGTCCACAGTACGAATTTCGGACCTGTTTGATTGTCAAATATTGTCTCATTTTCACACACTAAAACTTATTTTATTTATTGTATTGTTTTGTTTTTTATTATTACATGTAGTATAATTATTATTTGGAGGCTTTACTCTAATCCTTTGCCTTTGTATTTGAATATTTATAATATTTATGCAGACTCAAATCATTTACATGGAGTTATTGTTTTAATAAATAGAGAAATAAAAAAAAATGTAAACAAATCAACGATGGAACTGATTTAACGTTTATGAGCGCATTTGTCTCTCCATCCTTACAACGTCAGGGGTCATGAGTCAACCGGAACTGGCCGTCGGAACTCTGATAAATTTCATTCGTTTTAAGTGGACTTGCTACGAAAGCCAGAAGGCTCATTCGAGATTCGAGTTTTGAAATATGAGATTCGAAATTCGAGTTTCGAGATTCAAGATCCAAACTAACCAATCAAAAGGCGGGTTAAGATTCAATTATTCCCCTTGCTAAGTTTTGACCTTCAAGAAATCGTTGAATATATTCAAACCTAAGAGGTCATTTGATTATATTACAATGCAAGAAAGATTGTTATATATATCAGAACGAAATTAGAAAAACATATTGGGTTTTTGGTCTGCAAAATATGCTTAAATTTATAGTATAACTTCTTAAACATTATAATAGATTTATACGAAGAATATCTATATTGTATTACCTAGCTTGTTTATAGGTTTGATGTCATGATAATAAATATTGTTAATCGAATTCAAAGAGCAAAAGGGGGAGGGGGAGGGGTGGGGGCGTATTGTAGTCGATGAGAATTATAAGTGTGCAATTGAACAAGTGACTAGCAATTAATAATAAATAGAAATACGGGGTTTCAAAGTGGATATACATGTAGTTTGTGACAAGGTATTAGAAAGTGACCAGTGACTAATACGGGTTTCAAAGTTAAGTGTGCAATAAAACAAGTGACAAGCGATTAATAATAATTAGTATACGGGTTTCAAAGTGGATAAAGTTTGTGATAAGGTATTAGAAAGTGACCAGTGACCAATACGGGTTTGAAAGTGGATATAATTTGTGAAAAGGTATTAGAAAGTGACCAGTGACCAAGTACGTGAAAACAAGAGACAGACCTTTAAGTACGGATGGCTGGAATATACATGCTTAATAAAGATAATGATTTCTCTTTGTTCAGGCCCGTAGGAAATAATTTTAAAAATCACTGTAAAGCCCCCCCCCCCCCCAAAAAAAAAAAAACAACTAGAGTTATTAGACGCTATTTTTGAAAGTATGGAACGCCGCAGATGCCTTATGTGGAGAACATTCATTATTTGCTGATACTTTAACATTATATGCTGATAGTTTATCATTATATGCTGATACTGTGTCATTATATGCTGATTCTTTAACATTATATGCTGATACTTCAACATTATATGCTGATAGTTTGTCATTATATGCTGATACTTTAACATTATATGCTGATAGTTTGTCATTATATGCTGATACTTTAACATTATGTGCTGATACTTTGTCATTATATGCTGATACTTCAACATTACATGCTGATACTTTAACATTATATTCTGATACTTCAACATTTTATGCTGATACTTCATTATATGGTACTTTAAAACATAGATTAAACATCGGGATCTTCATACTAAAATTCTTTGACAAGAGGAAAAAAAAAATGTTTTCAATTGCAAAGTTTTAGTATATACATGTACATGTATTGGCAATTTGATGGGACGAAAAGGGATAGGAGGCACCTGTAAGCAGTTTTGAATATACTGGCGTATTTGGAAAGGGGTAGAGAGTAAATATTTAATATTAAAAGTGAACTAAACGAAGATAGCTTTGCAAAAAGAGCGTGTACTGCACGAAAATTTAAAGAAATTTTGGAAGTTCAGGAACTCTTCATGGTATTAAAACTTAGCTGTTTTTTTTAAACATCAATGATGTTACAGGACATCAAAGCAGAATAATACAATTTATAGGGAACAAACATTTGATTCGTTGGGGGGAGGGGTGCAATTTTTTTTTTCGAGTCAGATTATTTATTTTCATGTCACTTCGTGACTGATAGATTATTCATTTTCTGGATGACCAGGTACATATTATTTATTTTCACACAAAACAAAAAAGTCTAACCAAACTCGAGAACTCCATTTCTTTGGGGAGAGGGGTGGGGCTACAATTTTAAAACCACAAATTACATTTTGTCAACTGGTCTATATATTTATCAGTTTAAAATTGTATTTTGTAAGTTTTCCTACACCAAGAATCATTACTGATTAACAATTAACACCTCATAGCCAATGCCTATATCATTTACCGACAAAGGAGGCACATAGATTTTTACTTCCGCCAAGCTAAAACATCAAACCGGAAGGTATCGTTTTCCTGTTACCTTTTACCTATGCTCCTCGTGCATTTGACGCATAGGGCCATCTTTTCATAATGATTTACAACATTTAATAATGTGAACGAATTTGTATATTTAGAATAGAAGCAATGAAACTCAATTATTTAAGTACCTTTTTGATTTTATGTGCCAAATTTTCTTGGTTGGTTATAAATAGAAGGATATTGGGGTCATTTTAAAAAAAATACTAACGATATCAATACAAATTCCAAGGTAGTGGCTCACTTGTCATGAGAATATTTTTAGAAAAAAATGAAAACAAAAAAATAATCAAGCGATTTCTGCACTTGTTTTTCATTTGTTAACGAAAGTCAAAGTCTAAACTGCAGGTTTTCAACTTAAAATAATCATCAGATGCTTTTTATGATTTATAATTTTTTTTGCTCTTGAATTTGGTGTATCTAGTCGGGATGATTGTCGATTTATTTATGTGGCTTGGTTCTTTTAAATACTCTTTTGTCCTGGCTTGATGGACGGGGTTTGTAGAAAAGTGTTAGTTATGTACAGATAACCCACATTTTTAACAAAAAAATCACACCTAACCATGGTACAAATCGTGGCTAACTACTTAGGGCAAATATCACGTGACTTCTCACTGGAGCCTTGTATGGAATGTTACGGTTACGTAGAGACCAAACATATTAAAATTTGGTTTTCAGTGTTTTCTTCACAATATTATTAACTTGAAAGGAAACCATTGGGATAAAACAGTTAGGGCATTGGAATCTGCGAGCACTACATTTTTTTATTTGGTCTTGATTAATGAAGATGGGCGTGTTTGGCGTGTGATCTGCAGGAATAAGGCGTACGAAACATTTATAGTTTAAATGTTTACGATTTGGTCGGCTGACCACATATTTTACAAAGTTACGCACATGGGTAGATGTTACATTTAGTTTGAAATACTTTGTCAAATTTAATATATCAGTCCGCTCATCCTACCAATTACTACATGTAAAACTTAGGAACGCTTCACATAGATAATAAACACCTATAGGGTATAGTTAAATGCAATTACAAGTACATGTATAATATATTTAAGTATCAGTAGGTTGGAAGAATTGCTTTCACTTTCGGTGCAACAGAACCAGAATTTATCTATTTGAAAATAAATCAGTAAGAATATTAAACTGACAAAAAAATTGATTGTTTATACTAAAAAAAAATATTAAGGCTCCATGCGAGGATCGAACCAAAAATTTTTCTTTTTTCGTTGCACTGGACGAGTAA